ACATTTAGGGGAAAGCAAAAAACGAGGAAGAAGTTTCAGTTGAGTGAGTCACAGTTTGAACAGACTCTTCTTTCTGACATTCAGCACTTTTCTGAACTTCTCTCTGTTTTACATCATGACACGAAGTAAAAACAGACTAGAGTACACATGGCGGGGCCAGTTTGAGGGGGATCCAACAGTTTTCTCCACAGTGGCTGTTGCCACTGCTGTGCCTTTATGTCCAGTGTCTATCCAACTGAAGCACAAGTTCTTTTATATTGGTTTTTATGAGTGAAAACAATGATGGACTGAGACTCACCTGAAAGCAGGTAAATTATAGGTCTCACCTGCAGGATCATGCACACCTGGACCATCAGCTGAAATGCCTGGACCATGAACTGAAACATCTGGAACATCAACTGAAATACCTGGACCATGAACTGAAACATCTGGAACATCAACTGAAACGCCTGGACCATGAACTGAAGCACCTGGACCATCAGCTGAAACATCTGGAACATCACCCGAAACACTTGGGTCATCAGCAAATTTGACAGAAACGCTGAAACTTTGGTTTCTAAAATTTTATTTTAAATAAGTGGCTGAGCTCAGGTCAATTCACTCATTCACCCTATGCTCTGTTCTGCTTTTTGAATTATGGACACAGTTACACATAAAAACTAATGAAATAAAACCAGACAGTTGTTCAGTGACAAAAACAATCTGATGAAGAAAATAAAAAGTAAATAAATATACAAATAAAGAGATCAGTAGTTATGTAATGGAAAAGTTAAATTCACACACATGCTGTCTGCTCAGTATGCTCAATGTTCTTATTATCTTTTTATTTGTACTGTCTAACCTTGTTTCCTTTCCTCTGGACAGTCCCGTCTCTCAGACGCTGCACACAGATTTAGTCTCTACACACACACACACACACACACACACACACACACACACACACACACACACACACACACACACACATCCTTGTTTTTGTCACTTACCGGGTCCCTACATAGACTTACATTCATTTCCAGGAGACTTACCCTAACCATAACACACACACACACAGTCTATATTGATGCACATAGCCTGGTTTCCATAGACTGACTGCACAGTTGCCCATCTAGGAAATACCTATGAAGGCCACATACAGTACCTAGGACACATTTCTGATTGGTTCCAGTTAGCGGGGGATAGTTGACTGATGTTATAAAAAACCTGACTGTAATGTCTCTCTTTTGTCACTCACTGACTCTTTGCACTGACTGTGTGACCTCTTGATCAAGATACTGGTACTGTCTTATGCTATTGTCTGATTCAGTTAAATTACACAAAGACTACCCAAGAGCCTCCTTACTGATTTCCACAACAAGTTACACAAGTGTTTTTCTTTTAACTTTAATCATACACTCATTAATTTTTTATTGAGCTAAAATAAGTTTTGAAACTCAGCACTGTTTGGGGTAAATGATGGATTAACATTATATACTCTTTGGCCTTCCAATAATGAATCCAGTCTGAAGTTACTCATTTTAATGAGGTGTTAATAAATGGATTTGGTTCATGAAGATGTTCAAATTTTTTTAAGCTGCTGAAAACATGTTTTGTAAACCTAAAATCAGGTGTCGGTTTCTTAACAATTAGGCTCTTTTATAGGAAAAAAGTCTTCACAGACAAAAACCTTTAATTCTCTGCTTTGATGTTAAAACAAACTCAGATTCTATTAATTCATAAGCCTTTAATAAAAGCTTTAGTTCTGCCATGTATCAGAAGAGTCTATAAAAAGTATATAAAAACAGTTTGAATAACACAGAGCAGATAATACCAATATACACAGACAGTGCAGAATAATACAGAGAATACATGAACGACTTAAGTTATAAACCTGACTCAGGACCTGCAGTGCCACTAAATGCTCACTAAACTGACTCATCGTTTTCTGTTTTTAAAAGAAGGTTTAGATGTAAAAACAAAAACCCTCCAGGTAAAGCCCATTTCCTCAGTCAGTGCTGAGGGTTAAATAACCCAGTGTCACCTGTACTTCCTGCTGGTCATGTATTCATCAATTAATGAATGGTCAGCAGGTGAGGAGGGTGGCAAAGGTCAAGGGTCAATTAAACCCTCTGCTCTGCCTGTCAGGAAGAGTTGGGCTGACCTGGAGGTTAAAAATCCTGCATCTTCACTGTCAGGCAGCTGAATCCTTCACATGCAGCTCTCCTCTTCCTCACAGCTGCAGGATGAAGCAGGGGGCTCCTCTGCTTCCTGTTTGTCCTCTGATGATGTCATTTCCTGTGTTCCTGGTGCAACTTGAGAGGTGGATTCTGATGTAGGGTCTGGTAACTCAGGGCTGCAAAGGAACCACACCATCGTCATCACCATTATTAGTAGTAAAGGCAAAATCACATCTGTAAAAACAGCCGCTTAGTGTTGTGTCCGACTTGAACCTGACATGCTCTGACACAACGCCTACACAGGCAACGATATTCTTATGACATTGAATTGGCTCGATTTTTAAAATCCTTCTCCTAACATACAAAGCCCTTAATGACAAGGCTCCATCGTATTTTAAGGACCTCATAGAGCCTTATCATCAGTGCACTTTTCTCTCACAAGGACAATCTGGCCATGGCTGCAGTACGTAAACACTTTATGCAGATGTTTCACAATAAAAGCCAGGCCTCAAAGGGGAAAGAGGGTGCCCACACACTGATGTTTTGATTAGTGCAACGTTTTGATCGTGTGACTCTTGAAAGTCTGGACACTGGAATTTTCATCAGACAGACTGTGGTTCGATCACCGACCATCGGCGCCGAGTGCAGCCGCTTAGTGTTCTGTCCGACTTGAACCTGACATGCTCTGACACAACGCCTACACAGGCAACGATATTCTTATGACATTGAATTGGCTGTAGTTTTGCAGGCACTAGTAGTCAGCCAGGCACTGATTGCAAGAGCTCAGGGCATGATGGGAGATGCCTGGCTCTCACCTGAACGGAGAGCTGGTTGGTTTCGATGCTGGATCAACAGCATGATGTTTAACAGAAGCATTACACTTTTAATGGGAGAGGTTGACTGTTTTAGTATTAGTCAGCTTATGCACTATGAAGTTGTGCCACCATCGCAGAATGTGCTGTGATGGTGACTTAGCGTCAGAGACACTCTGTTGTCAGACTGCAGACAGTCTGTGATAGCACTGCTGTACAATATGAACATTACTGGCAGGCTACATATCTGACAGATCAGCAGTGAACATGTCTGCTAATTAATAATATCAATTTATGCAGTTTCATATCAAGTGTATGTTTTACACTTCTGAGTGTACATCATTAAACCAGCAGCTGTTTGGACCCTGAGTAGAAGCTGAAAAAGTTTGGTTGATTACATTTTATTAAATCAGGGTCAGATCTAACACGATGGGAGTTTGACAAACTGAAGGGTGTTGCAATGCTCCTAAATTGTCCGTCTTAACTTTTTTGTCACTGCCCCCTACTCGCTGCTCTCATCCACTGACCAGGACCGTGCATCTCAAATGAACTTATCATAAACTCGTACCATACTGTGTCCAGCACAGCGCCGGTTTCTATGGTGATGTCAGTGATGGGGATGACGTATGCGCCGTGGGGGCCTGCCTCCACTGGCTCTGCCTCTGACAGGTGAACATTCACCTGAGGGGAGGGGCTCCCTGTGAAGGAAAAGACGATGGGGTTTTAAGAGAAACTACCTGAACCAATACAACCTCAAGCTGCGGGAAGAAACATGGACAGTGTCGGGAATCCTGGCAGAAATCAAAGAACCTTTAGTGACACAATCGTGATGATGTCATTATTTAAACTTTCCCTCTGTTTTAAACCACGGTGACACATGGAGAGTCTGAAACAGCAAAACCATTCCACAGATCTAGAAATCTAGCATCTAGACCTACTGAGCTTTATGATTTATCACTTTGTCGTGAACTCTTTTGTCCTTGTCAGGCTCCTGTAGAAACAATGGCTCAGTGTGATCCGACTACTCAGTGGTTTTTGATCTGATGCTCTGAAGTTCACCTGTGCAGGTGAGGTGTGTGGGTGATCTACCTCTTTCAAAGTGAGTCAGCCTCATGGTGCCAGTAAACCAAAAACAGCTTATTCCCTCTGATCCCTGTGTGTTGTTGCCTGTATATCTGCACATTGTGTTGTGCTGAATGTGTGCTACCAGCTGTGCTGCGTTGAGCATTGTGTGTCTGTGCAGTGTGTTACCAGTTGTGGCAGTCTGATCTGCAGCAGCGCTGGATGAAGTCAGCCTGGATCGAACAGCAGCTGGATCTTCACCGTTCATGAAGTTCTCGCTCAGCTTCACGTAACGCTGACACGCAAAATGACAAACGATAACTACATTTACTGATCATAAGCACATGACAAACTTCACCACAGATGTGAGAAATAAAAACAAACTAAAACACCTTGTGTTTCCTAGATGGGCAGTTTGTTTTTAACAGTGTGGATGTGAGTTTCCTTTCAGAGTTGTGACGTCAGATGAAAGATGTAAAGATGATGAACTGGGTTTTATACCTGTTTGTACTCGTCAGGCAACATGTTTCCCACTGAAACGACAAGCGATGAGAAACCGGGTCTGGACTCCGGCTCTCGCTCCCAGCAGCGTTTCATCACCTCATATCTGTGCAAAGACGCGGTTTTAGTGCATCATTTACCCATTAGTTCATTAACACACACAAAGACACTGTTTGTCAGTCTGTGATACTGTGACTCCTCATGGGAGTGTGTAGTGTGTCCCGCATGTCGCGGGGAGCGTGTAGTGTGTCCCGCGCATGCCGTGTGTCCTACATGTCATGAGGAGCGTGTTCAGGCCGGTTCATTCTGTAGCCTCTCTTCAGAGCACAGTAAAACTCCTGGGTCATGGGGAGGTCAGGGTACGGACTCCTGCCTGGGACAAAGAGATAAGCCACTGATTTATACAGGACAGACAGGGGCATGCAGATGTATACTGGTTTATACTGGTTTACCCAGAGAGAAGATCTCCCACAGTAAGACTCCGTAGGACCAGACGTCGCTTTGGGAGCTGTAAATGTCCTGGAAGATGCTCTCTGGTGCCATCCACTTCACCGGCAGAAAGTTCTGAACAAGAAGAACACCTTTATTGTCATTATATGATGAACATATAACAAAATCGCAATATTCTCTCTATGATGCAAAAATAGCATTCAACATTGAATAAACAAACAAATATTTAAAAGGTGCACAATTAATAATAACGGACCAGCTGACAAATGATAAAATAGAATCAAATCCAGGAAATACATGAACCTGAATATAAGCTTAATTGTATCTCAGCTGTAGCAGAGTAGCTCTGATTCAATCACATGTTTGTGCTGTGATTGATTCGCTGCTCAACAGCCTTGGTGTAAAACGTATTTCTCAATCTGGCTGTGCAAGTTTTTATTGACCTGTACCATCTCCCAAAGGGTAGAAGCATGAACAGGCAGTGACCAGGGTGAGAAGGGTCCTTCAACAGCACCAATGAAAGGATGGTTTCTGGCTTTGGAACATTTAACCAGAAACGAAAACTTCTGAATGTATTTTAGACAGAATGAGGACTGTGGGTTGTGTCCTCCAGATGTTCAGGCCCAGTATGAACAGGAGGAATGACTACTGCAGGAAAAAACTGTGAACTTGCCCTTTAACACTGTAAACTCATTGTAATTATTTTAACTGAAGTTCTGGATAACTGACGTTTCCTTTGGCAACATAGTCCTGGTCCTTCATCAGGTCTCGGGCCAGACCAAAGTCACAGACCTTCACCAGCTTCCCCCCACAGACCAGGACGTTCCTTGCCGCCAGGTCTCTGTGGACACACTGGGGACACAGAACAATACACATCAACATGTCAGAGAATATTTAGACATGTATATCAGCTGATCACTGTGACCATACCTTTCGTGAGGAGAGGAAGTCCATGGCCTGAGAGATCTGGTAGGAGAAGCCGAGGAGGTCACTGAAGCTGAGCAGAGGGGAGTCACTGAGGAGGAGAGAGGACGCCTCCTGCTGGTCTGAAGGGGAACCACAGGTTGAGACTGCTCATCAATACTCCTGATCAATACTGTTTGATTTACTTTGTTTCACAACCATCCTGAGTTATTATTAATTATTAATATTGTTACTCTGTTGTTTCTGCATGTTTCTGCGTGGGTTCTCTCCGGGTACTCCAACTTCTTCCCACAGTTCAAAGACATGCAGCTTAGGTTGACTGACGACTCTAAATTGCCCTTAGAAGTGAGTGTGAGTGGTTGTTTGTCTACATGTCACACCTGTGATAGACTGGCGACTTGTCCAGGGTGGACCTCATGTCTCTCCCATTGTCGGCTGGGATTGGCTCCAGCCCCCCATGACCCTATTCAGGAATAAGCAGTATAGGATGGGTGGTAATTTGTTCCAGCTTCCATCATGTTCTGACATTGTTCAGTTTAATGTGAGCACATTAAGCTGAGCTGTACACACAAGATGCAGATTAAGTACACAGTGTGCTACAGAAACAGCATAATACATATATGCACCTGGTGGTGTGCAGGGCGTCTCGTACACCACCGGTTCAATGTCAGCATAGCTGAGCTCCTGCATGGCAAGGTACTGATCACTCTCCTCCTTATTCATGTCCATGTAGCCGCCATCACTGTCACTGAAGGCGAGAAAGAGAGGCCGTCATATACCACAGACGTTTGACATGAAACATGCGTTTTATTTTTAATGTGTGTTGACCTCTTGGTGTGTGCGTCACTCTGCAGGAAGGTGTGTTTGCTCCTCTGCAGGTAGTTCACCAGGTCTCCATGACAGCAAAACTCCGTGATCAGATAGACAGGACCTGGACAGACAGACGGGTGTCAGAGAGACAGGTAAAGTGTCCCGTAGATGCAGCTGCAGTTCTGTGCTCCCCCATTAGGGGCTCCTGTCACTTCTCACTGCAGACTGCACATTCCAGTGTTTCCCATACAATGACTTGTTTGAGGCAGTCTACCAGACACACACACACACACACACAAAAACACACGGTGACGAACCGTCTGAACAGCTCCTCCTCTCCGTGTTTGTTTTTTAACATAACACTGTCAATTGCAGAGACAAAATCCATCCCGTCCAGAACCTGAGCTTGTGTCAGTCCAGGTGAGTTTCTCTCTGTCAGAGTCATGTCCTCACCTCACCCTGAGCAGTCTCCCTCTCTGCACCTGCTCCTCTGGTTGATAGAAACACTGACAATAAATAATGTGACCACTTGATCCAGACCTGGACCTGTGGATTACTCCTGTGATCAGTTGGTCTGAGACCAGCTGCGACAATAATATCTCCTCAGTCTGATATGTTCAGGTGTTTGACTGAGCCTACAGTCGTGACATCGATTAGCCTGCCATAGTGACCACAACACTAATGTTTCAGTAAAGTCACCGTCTCTAGGTCATGATACTTACGTACTGATGCTAGAATTCTGACAGGCTGAGGCTATAAAAGTTACTTAAGTACTGATGCTAAAATTCTGACAGGCTGAGGCTATAAAAGTGTCTGCACTCTGTGTGGTCAGACACCAGGATTGTGGCTTTACTCTGCATGTCTAAGTACGACCCGAGAGACTGATCCATATCAAGCAGAGACAAACATTCCTGAGATCTTTTATTATGAAAGAGTAAACAAAGTGTAAACAGAGAGCAGCAGGAAGTGACATCATGAGTCAGAGACAAAGAATATTTCAAGATTAAGTCAAAGTTAAATCAGGATTCCAGTGCCTACCTCCCCTCGTGCACGCTCCCAGCAGGTTGACAACGTTCAGGTGAGGACCCAGATGAACCAAAACCTTCAGCTCGGACATCAGAGACTGAGCTGCATCACCGCTGCTCGCTGAACACACAGACACCACAGGTTTGACTGATTTTTGGCCTGAAATGAAACTGCTGAGTTGAAAACATCACAAATGTTTGGCAGATGTCAGCTGTCAGAAACAGAAAAGCTAAGGGGAAGCTTCTTCAGTACTAACATCTTACATTAAAACAGTGGAGAATATGTTGGACTACAGTGTCTGCACCAACAGCTTCATGCTCACACACAGTTTCTGACCAGTCAGGAAGAGAAGCTGTCAGCTGTCTCAGAAACAGAGACCAACTCTGGAAACTAAAAACTTGTATGAAATGTAGGCTGTCAGACCAAACTGTGTTCTGCAGCACTGACAGAGTGAGAAAGAGAAAGAGAGAGAGAGAGAGAGAGAGACAAGTGAACAGAGATAGACAGGGTTATGGTTAAACAGGTGAGAGCAGAAGAAAAAGAGAGAACATGAGCACTGTGAGTGTCAAGATCCCCATTCTTCTTGCTAATGCCTCACTTTTGTCTTCTTAAAGCTTCGGTTTTATGTTCAGCAGCTTTTAAAACCGTCACTCTGGGTTCTGTACCTTGCTGGTTGTGCATCCTTTCACACAGCAGCTTTTAGGCATTTTTCAGTTTTTTGTTAAATGATGCCTTCACATAATACAAAGTCAGTCAAGTGAAATAAACAGTTTTCCCCCCACAGTGTAGGTGCTGCCTAACTGTGCTCTATCTCTATACCCTCCACATCTTCATTAATAACACATACACCAAAACATTTTCTCTTGTTTTGTGGATTTTAAAAAAAGCCTTTGATTCAATCTGGTATGACAGTCTGTTCTTGAAAATAACTGAAAAGGTATAGGCAGAAAGTGTTATGATATAATTAAAACAATGTATACAAATCTTAAATATGCCATACAAATCAGTAATATGGAAACAGACGTCTTCCCCCAGAGTAGAGGGGTGAAACAGGGTTGAGTCTCAGCCCCACCCTGTTTAACACTTATCCTGATGAACTGGCACAATCTGATATCCCTGGTCCCTCTGGCACACAAGTTAAATGCCTACTGTTTGCAGATGCTGTTGTATTGCTAGCTCCAGCTAAAGCAGCATTACAACAGCCGGACCATCTGCATAACTTCTGTCAGACCTGGGCCCTGACAGTTAATCTGGAAAAAACTAGAATTAGGGTTTTACAAACACAAACCAGATGTCAGGGAACAACAAATAACAGGTTTTTATTGTGCTCCACTGACACAGACAGGTGAACAGAGAAACAGAGGCGGGTACATACATTTGACCATCTTCACAGCTGCTTTAGTTGTAGAACCAGAGTGAATCAGACCAGAGATGGTTGCCTCAACGACACGACCGAACACACCTGAACCCAGCACCCGACCTGGAGACAGACAGGAAAGGAGAGTGAGACAGATGCTGACTGCTGATCTGTTTTGGCGTGGACTGATGTTCTTGTTATCATGTTGTTGAAAGCTGGTGTCATCTCATGGTATTACCTAGTACTACGTTGTCTCGTGGCACTTCCCATGAGGAGCTGTAGGGCAGGTGGGTGGGGTCCAGGTAGGTGCACTGCAGTCCGTCAGGACTCACAGACTCGATCACCTTCCAGCGAACTTCATAACGAGGTTTCTAATGAACAGGAAGTAAAAAATAAAAGACTCAGAATGTGAAACTAAAACGTAAACTGTTGTTACATGCTGTCATGGCAACCAGAAGACTATACTAAACTGTACACTTTGCATCAGGTCTGCAAAACAGACTTACAAACTGCAACTAGAGAAAGATTTCAACAGCAACTCCAACCCAAGGCAAATGTTGCAAAGCATCCAGATCATTACGGAATATAAAAGCAAAAATAATACTCAGCACAAAACAACCATCAACACTGCCATTCTAGCAGAGAACCCTAATAACTTCTTTCCTCAATCTGACAAAAACAACAAGCAAACCCCAGCCAGACTCAGTGTGATCAATGATCAACACACTCGTGTCCTGCACACACACAAGGTGTGGCGTGCCCTTCGCAGCATCAACATGCAGAAAGTAGCTGAGCCTGAGGGTGTACAAGGGAGGGTACTCCAGGCCTGTGCTGACCATCTAGCAGACATTTTCAGCCTTTCTCTATCCTCATGCACAGTTCCAGCATGCCTCAAATCCACCTCCATCATGCCTGTGCCCAAAAAAACCTATAATAAATCTGTCCCAGTGACTACTGGCCTTTTTACGCTCACCCGCTTTCTCAAAATGTTTTGAACAACCAGTCCTCACCCACGTTTAGACCAACACCAGTTTGCCTACCAGCTAAAAATATCGACAGAAGATGCCATCTGTATGACCCTAAACACAGCCCTCTCTCAACACCTATGGCAGGATGCTCTTCATGGACTACAGCTCGGTGTTTAACACCATTATTCCAAATAAACTAGCCGGTCAACTACACACCCTTGGACTAACTCCTTCAATATGCAACTGGTTACTTGACTTCCTCACAAATCGCCCATAGACTGTTAGACTAGGTAAACACACATCATCCACCCTCACTCTGAACACCAGTGTCCCCCAAGGCTGTGTGCTCAGCCCTTTCCCTTTTGCGCTCCTCACTCATGACCACCGGCCAACCCACAATTCAAATACCACTGTCAGGTTTGATACGATGGCCACTGGGCTAATAACAGTTCATGATGACTCTGTATACAGACGAGGTTCAGAATCTAACAGCGCTGTGTGCAGACAACAACCTGGTGTTTACTTTGAACAAAGAATAAAATTAGTGCAGACAACAACCTGGTGTTTATTTTGAACAAAGAATAAAATTGATGAGGTGTCCCATTAAATAATGAGTTGCTGTTCTGTTTTCAATGTGATACAGGGCACAGATAATTTACACATCACTTTTTTCAGTTTTAATTTTTTTTAATATGCTGTCCTAACCTTTTCTGATTTGGGGTTGTAAAAAGTCCATGGAGATCATTATGGATTTTAGAACTGCCGACAGTCCTGTCGCCATTGTAACAGAAGCTGTGGAAAGAGTCTCCAGCTTCAGGATCCTGGGTGTCACTATCGCTGAGGACATCTCCTGGGCTGACAACACCTCAGCAGTGGGTAAGGCACAACAACGCCTTTATTTCCTGAAAAGGCCAAGGAGAGCCAGCGTCCCCCAAAAACTGCTTATGAGCTTCTACAGATGCGCATGGAGAGCACCCTCACCACCTGCATGACAGCTTGGACCTGCAGCAGCACCAAAGCTGACAAAAAAGCCCTCCAGCAAAAACAGCACAGGACATCACTGGCATGGAACTGCCATCACTGAACCACACAACCCTTGCCGTTTAGAGGGCCATGAACAGCATAAAACATGTTACACATCCTGGAAAACACCTGTTTAGCAATAGCAATATGAATTTGACCATTTCTACAGTATGGAAAGGCTGACGTGCTGCTCCTATTGCTATTACTATTGCAGTACAAGTGCAGTATCATTGCTGCTCATTACTGGAGAATGTGAATACCTCGTTTACCTCAATTTACTGCACCTCACTGCACTTTACAACTGATATTCTATATTGTATATATTGTGTAACCTATTGATCTTGTTTTTTTTATTTATATCTTATCACAATTCTTTATTCATATTTCTAAGATCTATATTTCCCTTCATTTTTCTTGTCCTCACAATAATGTGAAGAACTTCTACATGTACTGCACTGTAGGAGGCTGACAACTGCAATTTCGTTGTATTATGTTTAATGACAATAACGTTCTTGAATCTTGCAGTACAGCTGAGCTACTACTGTGCTACTTCAAACAGTTAATACTAATACTCCCCTACATACTGACTTTTCTCCAGAGGATGATGAGGATGATGAGGAAGATGATGGCAATGACGACCAAAACCAGAACTGCTGCTAAAATTGCAACCTGAGACAGGAGAGCTGGAAACAGGCAGGCAGACA